AGCCGTTGAAAATGCTGAAATCTCCGACGCCGGCGGCCGCAAATTCCGGCAAGTAAGCGGTTAAACATTCTACGCTTACTTTGCCAAGAAAGTTGCAGCATACTCGGAAGCCATCGAACACCCAATCTCCGGCAGCGCACGACTCTGCAACGTATGAAGGTACAGTCTTGCAGCCGCACGCAGCCTGAGAAATCGCCATTGCGGTCGCAGTTTTGAACAAGATGAGCATCACTGCAACAACGATAACGGCGTTAGAGTTCTGTGTTGGCTTCGGATGTGTCTGCATGGGTGGTAGATTTGAATGAAGAGGGGTTAAAGGTTCCGACGTCGAGGAAGGGGGGAGACGTAATGGCTACTACACTAGTGCTGTTACTACACTAGTGCTGTTACTATGGCTACTACACTAGTTCTACAGGTACATTGTTTGATTATTAAATTGGAAAAGTTGGGGTCCATTGTTTTCAGGAAGCAGCTTTATTGCTCTGTGATTTAATGGGAATTAATCTTTATGCTTTTTACTGTGAGTCGTGGAGTGGGGGGAAGGACAGGGAGATTGTGGCGCCTTTGGGTGACGACAGGGGCTTGTCGGTGGTGTAGGGTAGAGCTTTAGGTGAAGAATTTGAGGTGAAACGACAATTGCTTAAAAGAGAAGAAAATATTAAGTCTCGGTGGCATTGGAGTTTTGTTTTTCTTCTTCACCCATTTTGGTGCATGGTATCAATTATTGGGATGCCGCTTATATCCGTGCTCTCGACATAATATTTTTTCTTCAAAGGGATCTTTCATCCGATAGAAACATTAGGTTTGACTAACAACGATGATTTGGATGTAGTCACATCTTCGTATATGTACGACAATTTATGTAGATCGTTGTCCGGATGTATAGTTTATGCATGATTGACCACATGTAATATGTTATCCCAAATATCACACTAGGCCCGGTTGATCAATTCGTGAATCACAATGAACTGAATGAAGAGGGCGAATTTGCCACAACATTTGTTAAAGCATGTGTTGTCCTTGTCAATGAACTCAAATAATCAAAAATACTTGATAAGTGAAGGCAACAGACGATTTCACCAGACAAATTTGATTCCAACATTCTCGGTGGTGGACAGGGAGATTGTGGCGCCTTTGGGTGACGACAGGGGCTTGTCGGTGGTGTAGGGTAGAGCTTTAGGTGAAGAATTTGAGGTGAAACGACAATTGCTTAAAAGAGAAGAAAATATTAAGTCTCGGTGGCATTGGAGTTTTGTTTTTCTTCTTCACCTATTTTGGTGCATCGTATCAATTATTTGGATGCCGCTTATATCCGTGCTCCGGACATAATATTTTTTCTTCAGAGGGATCTTTCATCCCATAGAAACATTAGGTTTGACTAACAACGATGATTTGGATGTAGTCACATCTTCGTATATGTACGACAATTTATGTAGATCGTTATCCGGATGTATAGTTTATGCATGATTGACCACATGTAATATGTTATCCCAAATATCACACTAGGCCCGGTTGATCAATTCGTGAATCACAATGAACTGAGTTGACGAAAATATGTAAATGAAGAGGGCAAATTTGCTACAACATTTGTTAAAGCATGTGTTGTCCTTGTCAATGCACTCAAATAATCAAAAATACTTGATAAGTGAAGGCAACAGACGATTTCACCAGACAAATTTGATTCCAACATTCTCGGTGGTATAGTGACCGTGGATATGACCAGAGCAAAACCTAGTTTATGAGAAAACTTTATAAACATGAATTTCGTAAGAGAGTTTTCCAAGCACCAGATGAATGAGTTGAAGGAGCAGGTGACTTTGGTGATCAAAGAGGATTTCAAGCAAGCCTCAAGGGAGCCACTAACTCCTAATTATCATCTAACACTCTAGAAGTAGTGGTGCATAGAAGATGAGACCCAATCATAAGAAATCAACAATTAGTGTAAGAAGAACTTTTTCATCCACTTCAATAGAGGGACAAGAGGATAGAATGTATTGCCCTCATAAACAAGGCTTCAATTCTAGAAACTATAGAGAGAGAGAAGACAAAAGATTCATAGGAAGATATGTCAATTAGAAAAAGTATTCTCCAAAGGAAAGCACTAAAAAATTTTAAAATTCTTATTTTGGAATCTTACTGGGAAGGTCCAATTCCAATAATCATGAGGCATCTTTTGAATCCACAGTTTGCTAGATTTATTGACGCATTCAAATGACTTTTGTTTTTATAACCCTTAATGAGTTTATCTTTTGTTTGTTTAAAAATTTTATCTCAGAGTCATAAACTCATTTGTCAAATTTAAACTATTATTTATAACTCCATTTTATAATGCTTAAAGGCTGCAAAAGAGTTCATGGATACATTTATCAATTTATTAGAGCATGGAGATTCTTTGACTTTCATTAGTCATTTCTACAAGGAAATGTTCAATGTCTATGCTTTAGAACTCATAGTCATACAAACTTCACTAGCTCAAGTCCTAAGCAAATGTCCTTGTAGCTACTTCTTAGGTTGTAGCACCCTAAATGCTAGCTAATTTATTAGAGCTAGCTAGCTAATAATGACATGTGTATAAGAATATAATTTGTTGTTAAGCTCCTCCAACAGAAGGTACAAGGAGTGACGCATGTTGAGGAAATTTCCAAGACAAATTAAAAGTATCTAATTGGGTGCATAATAACAAATAACTTTGAGAAATGATAACTTCATCCCTCTATAAGGCGAGTTTATTCAATGGGAGGGCAAGCGGAGCACAGCTCAAAAAGTGTAACGACTATAACTATATACATCAATGCACTTGTTGAGACTTGATTTCAAGATCTAGTAAGTATTACATGTTTATTTTCTATTTCTGAATTTCTTGAAATATTGGGAAATTTTTTTTAAAAAAATATTAATAATAAATGTCTTAGCCCACTTATTCCATCAATATTATCTCATTTCATTGCTTTTGTTTTCCTAACAAGATAAAATGTAGGGAGAGAAAGGGAGGGAAAAGATATATTTCTAAAAGAAAGTTGATTTCAGGGGTCATGAAGTCGATTTCGTCTGTCAAGGTTGGGGAAATTGTCCGACACAAGGTAAACTATTGTTAACCTAGTTCAGATTTAAATTGTATCATGTTTTCGTAAAGTTCTGATATTTTATTTGCCGAAATTTCGTACAAACTCATATCTATGGAGATTTACAAACTTTTCACCACATAACTTCTTATATATTATTAGTCCGTTTTGGACATATCAACATACAAATATTTATTTTTTTTGCTGAGATGATTGTGTTGTACAATATATATATATATATATATATATATATTATTTTGACACGTGTCAAACTAGATAAATTTGATGTATAATGAGAAAGAGTTAAAA